AATAAATAAAAACCAACTAAAAGCAGTTTAAAAATTGAGCATAAGACCTCAAACCATGGGAATAGTTGAATAAACATTTCAAGACACTAGACTAGGTAGAGGCATTTTTGAGACAGGACTCACTCCTGTGGGACATCACCTCAATCCAGTAGAGATTGCCATTGTAGAAAATATAAGACAGCAAGTGCTGGCAAGCATGTGAAAGAAGGGAACCCATTCATATTATTGGAAGGTATGTTAGGATAGTTATGAAAATCAGTATGGCATTCCCCTCAAACAAAATAGATTATCTTAACACTTCAGAATAACTATTCGATATGATGTAAATATAACCTCTGGATACACATGTGAATGAAATGAAAACAGCCCATTGAAGACATATGTGTTCCCATGTTTGCTTTGTTGTGGAATATTAGTTTAAGATGTGTTGCATTCATTTATGCCGTGGGACTATTTGTTTAATGATGCAAAAATGTGTTGCATTCTTTTATATTGCATTTGTTTAACTCTGGAAAGCTGTGTTACTTTGCCTGCCTAAAACACCTGATTGGTCTAATAAAAAACTGAAAGGCGAATAGCTAGGCAGGATAAAGAATAGGAAGGACTGGTGGGCACAGAATAAATAGGAGGAGAAATCTAGGCTCAAGAAGAGTGGGGAGTAAGAAGAGGAGGAAAGGGCACCAGAGACCAGCCATCCAGCTACACAGCTAGCCACAGAATAAAGAGGAAAGAAAGATATACAGAATAAATAAAGGGGAAAGGCCCAGAGGCAAAAGGTAGTTAAAGAGAAATGAGATAAGTTAGAAAAGCTGGCTAGAAACAAAGCCAAGATAAGGCCAGACATTCATTAGTAGGAATATGTCTCAGTGTATCTATTTGGGAGCACTGTATTTATTTGGCAGGGCTCCTGCAAGAAAAAAAACCCCAAATGGTTTTATAGTTATTATTGTAGCATTGTGGGTGTGGAGGTAGCAGAGAGATAATAGAGATAGGGTTCAAAGATAGAATAAGAATAGTTTCTAGGGGCCCCCACTAGTTGGTAATAATGTACTTATGGTAAACTTCAAAATACTTAAATACTTTAAAATATATAGAGGAGAGAATGTTTGCCACAAAGAAATGGAACTTTGGAGAAATACCTAATTGCTTTGTCTTGATTATTCTACAACACATAAATATATAGCTATCACACTCGACTGATAATCTGTCTAACTACTACACATCAATTAAAATGAAAGACAAAGTATAATAACCATACTAGATTATTACAGGCCAAATGTGCAGTAACTGACTGTGAACTAGAATTTGTTTTCAAAGCCCTACACTCTCCCTCCTCCTCCCTCCCTCCCTCCCTCCCTCCCTCCCTCCCTCCTTCCCTCCCTCCCTCCCTCCCTCCCTCCCTCTCTCCCTTTTTCCTTCCTTCTCTTTCCAGACAGGGTTTCTCTGTGAAGCAACCCATGGGAGTCCTGTGGCACACACTTGTGTGCAGCTTGCAAAACATGTCACCTGCTGTCTTGGTGACCAGCACAGACTCTATTTATGAGTCTCTGCCTGCTATGCCACTTAACTGGATGGGTTTAAAAAGAGGATTGTGGCCAGTGGCGCTATGCGCTAAGCACTGCTGTTTAGAGCATGCAGGGAACACAGGCATCAGGTTTGAGTTTAGTCATCTTGAGCTGGGGGGGGGGGGGAGGGACCAAAGGAAGAGCAATCCTATCACCTGAGTGAAGGATAGGACTAAACACACTGTCTTTGACTGGTGTGTTTGCTTTTCCTCACCTTTGACCTACTTCATGTGTTGGTGTAGCAGTTCAAAAGTGATGGCAATGAGTGTATCGTATCGCCCTCAAAGGTTTAACTCTGGTACCAGCGTCACCACTGCAGCCTTTCAAGTCAGGAATCTTTCCATGCTTGAAGATTTCCGTCAAGGTATGTGTGTCTCCTACTCCACCTACACTTTCATCTTCTCTACAAACATCACACGGACAAATTACAATGTGATAGTATTTTCCACTTAGTGAGCACCTATGTGTCAGCCACTGTAGTAGGCATTTTATTGTTTTTTATTTGTTTGTTTTGTTTTTTACATTTGTTTATTCCACTTCATGAGTGTGGAGATCAGAAGACAACTTAGAGGAGTTAGTTTTACCCTACCATGCAGGATCTGGAGAGCAAAACTTTACAGGCGTGGTAGCAAAGTCATTACCCACTGAGCAATCTTGCTGGTCCCTGTATTATGCATCATCTGTTAGGAATAATGCCACCTATGGGTTGGCCAGCATAATGCCCGAATCCTTACCTTATCCATTACTTCAGCTTCTCACAAACTCTACAAGGGCTAGCTCCTTCCTCATACTTTGCTTATAAAACCCAAAGACTGAGTTTGGATCTTGCAGACATGGGGGCCAGAGCTAGCACTGCAAATGCAGATAGGCCTGGCTTCTGAGCCAAGCTCCTCTCCTGTATAGAGCACACTGGTAATGGACAGGGGGTGCCATATGATCAAAGTATAAAAATACGTTAAGTATGAAAATGTCATGACAAAACCCTTTATTTTGTATGCCGATAAAAAAGTTTTAAGGCCATGGATGAATAAATATGGAAAGAGAATGTTTATTGTGTTAACTATGGAAAGAAAGAATTTAGTTCAGTCCAGTATTTGAACAGTCCGTGTTGTGCTCCTGTTCTTGGGTCTTAACAGGTGGGTTGGTGGCCTCAAGTGATAGAATTCAAACTTGATCCAACTATAGCACTCCCCACTTCATGACTCGAGTGTGAGCTGCTTCTGTCTACCGCTCCCTCCCTCTGTGCAGCGCTCAAAGGCAAACAAAACCCATGTGATCACTGAAGTCTAGAAATGAATTTTTATTTCAAATCTGTCAAGAACTCCCGACAGTTATTAATTTTATTAAAATACAATTGTAAAATAAAAAGAGGGCAGATCTCTCTCTCTCCAGTATAAATTACATCAGCCTTTCGGCTGCTGGCTCGGCATTGTTTAAGGTGCTTTTAAGGGGTGAGGGGGCTCTGAGTTCCAGACAATTCAGACAAAATAATGAAAGAAAAATTATAAATTAAAAGTAATTATAATTGGAGACATTGCTCAGGATATGCTAATGATAATTTTTTTGATGTGTATACAGGCTGGACTCCACGCTTTGGTACTTTAAAGAAATCATGTGGATAGTGTCCTGCCATTGGTTTGCACGCCTAATACAGAACAAATTCACTGATGTTTTTTTTTCCTCAAAAGATGAGAAAAGTAGAACATGACAATTTCAAATAAAATACAACCAGCATTCAGTTATCTAATTGCAACATGGTAAAACAAAAACACTTTTATTAAAATATTTAATACCAGAATAACTTATAATAGTATGAAAAAGAGTGAAGTATTCGTCCTTGTTTTTCACTGTTATGCTCACATCTGGGCAGAGTTGTGATTTCCATTTTGCACCCTGGATTTCAAAATATCAAGAGTGCAACAGAAGAACCCAATACTCCATCTATTCATACAGTCATCATGCACACATCTCACCTTGGGCTTCCTGTTACTGCAAACTGCACTTAAGAAAACAAAGTAAAAATATACGTACAAAATATTTTCATATCAAAGTATCTTCATTACACTAGACAACCCCCACCCCACAATGCTATGATACATGAAAAAGTGTCCTACAATAGCCAACGGGACAGTCACGTCCATTCAGCAACCACAGCAACCTTTGGCTTTTAAAAGCATTTTGTAAAATAAAGAAAAATGTCAGCACATGCTGCACTACTGGATGTCATTCACACTTGCAAAAATGCTTTCCAGTCTAAAAAAAAAAATTACGAAGTAGATTACATAGCCAGAAAAAAAAATCCCATCTCAAAATAGCCCAGTCATTTCACTTTGCTGTTGAACATTTGCTTTGTCCACATTTCTTTATGCTTCGGGTCTTTCCAAGCAGAGTCAGATGTTACTGTTAGATGAAAGAGACACTCTTCTTCCTTGATAGTGATTATTCTCACTCAGTGGTAGTGTCATTTAGAAACAAAATGTTCTTTCTTTCAATGCAAGATTTCACTTAATTTTTATTTGAATGTCCTACTTGGCACAAACCAGAGAGTGTTCATGTTTTGTTTCCCATATGTTTTAAATTTTAAAAGTCAATTTTCTGCATGTATATGTATATCCACATACAGATATTTTCCCTTCATTTTCTTGTTCTCATTGCATTACAAATTGCCCATCAGAATTGTGACTTGAAATGAACCAAATAAAAGCTTTTAGTTACTCTGTATAGAAGCCAGCTTCCTTCACAAAGGAACACTGAACTCCATTGCAAACAAGATTAGGTCTTTAAACTAAACTATAGGTTTAGTTTACACAGGAAAAAAAATCAGCGATTTATATAATAAGGCTCTTTGCAAAACTTTAGAGAAAGAAAAATCCAAATTGGCTGTAAAGGGTATTGGGACGTTTTCCACAGTGCTCGGGAAAATAATTTGTGATTACAGTGTGCTCTGTGCTGTAATTACTAGTTTGAAAGTGTCTCTTCTTAAACGTATACATCACATGAGCCGTTTACATCGCATGCAGGCTGCACCTCTCATTTTGGCAGCTGCTAACATATCAGATACACAAACAAAACCCACACATAAAATTCTCACCGTCACCCTGGAAAGCACAAAGAACAGTTTCCAGTCCTATAGGCATTACTGGGAGGGGGAAAAGCAAAAGCACTTCATCTGGGCTGAACAGATTTCCAAGTTTTAATGTGTGATGACCAAATTTATTTCAAGGGTTTTCAGTGATTCTGGCTTGGGTCCTGCACCAGTTTGGAATGATGCGGTCTAGCAAGTGTTGGCGTCGGCTGTTTGAGGCACAGCTCTCCACTGCGCCCACGTTGGAGCTTACCTCAGGGAAGCAAGGCACTTACTGTAATGGTAACGCAAATGCTTTATGCATAGTTTCTGTAACATAAAATAAGTTAATATTTCTGATTAAATTTTTTTTTATAATTTACGTGTCTTTTTTGTAGAAGCAACTGATACATTTAGGATAGCTGAACTTAGGAGGTTTGGATGGGAGCCCTCTTCACCCCTGGCTTCGGCTCTTAGGATGAGGATTTACGTAAGAAAAACAAAACACTGACATGCTCAGCAACCCCTGGCCACACTAGAAGTGCTGTACCAGAGGCAGCTTGACTGTCTTTACTTCTGCTATGTGGGAAGACTTCTGGATGATGCAGCTGGTTGTCCCCTGCACTTCCTCTTTTCCCTGGGCGAGGTTTGTTAAGGCCATGGCTGCATTGATCTCTTTCCAGTACGTGTCATCCTTGCTCGGGCCCCTTCTGTTAGCTGCACTGCATGTGTGCAAGAAGAGAAGAGAAAGGATCAAACCCATCATAGCGAGCATTGGAGTCATCATTATAGCAAAGCACCAATGGCAAATGAAACTTGTTTTGCTCACCTGTCGCCTTTATTGGATCCAATGTCTAGAGTGTCTGTAAAGAGAAACACAAACTCAGTCACTTGTCCCTTGGACTTTTGCTTTTTTGTGTATGTTCTGTGTGTGTGAAGAGGTGTGCAGTTGCCCATGGTGGCCAGAATAGGTCATCAACCCCCCCCACACACACACACCAGCTGGTGTTACAGACAGCTGTGAGTGACCAGCTGTGGGTGTCGGGAACCAAATACAGGTCCCCTGAAAGAACAGAAACTACCCTGAAAGAGCAGAAACTTCTCTTGAACACTGAGCTATCCCTCCAGTCCTGTTTAATCTCAGGGCATCTTCATTAATTGCTAAGAATAAAATTTCATCTGGAAATATGGTTGAAAATTAATTTTTTTAAACGGAGATCCCAGAAATTATTAAGGTGAGAAAGGTTAATTTGCTGGAGGAAGTTGAGCCTTCATGGGGAAGGGCTGTACAGGGAGGTGTACTCGGCCAATCAATGTTCTTGCTCATTTCTCACTTATTAGCAACTTTCAGCACATTACCATGACCTGTAAGGGTGACTCATTTTCTTCAATGACAGAATAAGGACTTTTCTAGAAGCTGATAAGACCACCCCCCCAACTTTAATATTCTGCAATTTGCTGGGACTCAAGCTTGAAGAGAGAGGTGAGATTGACACGTGTTCATGTGAGCACAGTCAACAATGTCGACAGTACCATGATGCTCCTGGCACACCAGAAGAAAGTCTTCAGTCTCCAAAAGGACTACTACTGGCCCTGCTGTCATGAGAAATGAGGGGATGGCTCATGTGTGCACCTGCACCCATGGTGTGCATGAGAAATGGGGGATGGCTCATGCGTGCACCCTTACCCATGGTGTGCATGAGAAATGGGGGGATGGCTCATGTGTGCACCCATCACCCATGGTGTGCATGAGAAATGGGGGGATGGCTCGTGCATGCACCTGCACCCATGGTGTGCATGAGAAATGGGGGATGGCTCGTGTGTGCACCCTCACCCAGGTGCATGAGAAATGGGGGGATGGCTCGTGTGTGCACCTGCACCCATGGTGTGCATTTGCTCCTCTGTCTCTAACACCATGAAAACATAATGAAAGATGAGATGGGCTCTGGGTGTTGATTCATTCCTTTGACTAAAGGAACATGGCCTGGGGAGTACAGAAGCTGACTCATTAGGGGATAAAAATGTCCAGGTCAGGAGTGGGAGAGGGGTAGGGTCTCCTCATAAGCTTAGCAGACTCTGAATCTAGGTGGTGGATAAGCCTCGGTCACCACCACCACCACCACCATCACCACCTGTGTCTATAGCAATAGCTGGCATCTCATTAAGGAAGTCTCAAGGGACAGAAAGGAAGCAGAAAATGCCCATAATGTGTTCTAAGTCCTCCTCTTCCTATGGCCTCTGCAAACCTGTCCTTTCTTGGCTTCAGTCCTTCTCGCCTTTTCTTCTTCCTAGTCACTATCTCCCTAGGCTTTTGGGGTTTTCTAGTTGTGCACAAGGTTTGCTAGGCAGTGCAATTAATGCCCAATTCGAGCTCTAAGAGTCAGAGCCCAGGAAGGCTCAGGGGAAAGAACATGCAGTCCAGCCTGGCCAACACTTTCCAAGGTGAAGATGGCTACAAGAAAATAACTGCATGGCTGTAAAAGGTGGCCATTCTGGTAACAATGAGGGTCTCTAGACAGATATAGCTTACTGTGAGCTACTTACAATCTGTGGAGCCAACGAACTTGGGGGGCGGGAGGCAAGAAACGGAAAGTATTAAGTGAAGCGCCCCCAGGCTGCTGAGAAGAGCACATGAGATGAGCTGTGTCCTGCCCAACCCCAGAGTGTGAATGGTACTCTCTTAGTTTCTTTTCACTGAACATTCAGGTAGCATTTCATAGACTTTGGGGGAAATGCATGGGTCTGAAGTGTACGAGCCCGGGATCCTCTGACCCTGCTAGGTTGGCCTGGACAGTCAGAGTCCCACCCTGCTGTGTTGGATAATTTGGGGTTACAAAGTAACTCACATACATGGAGTGAAATAGCATTAATTTTCAGCCTGCAGAACTCAATAAACCTGGCTTATATCAACTTTCTGAGTCAAGCCTTTTCAGTGTTTCTTAAAAAATTTTTTTAAAGATCACATTTATGTATTAATGGGGTGTATGCGTAAGCCACATCACATGCTCAGAGGTCAGAGGGCAGGATTATGTTCTTTCCCTCCATCATGTGAGTCCCAGGATCAAAGCCAACTTCTCAGGTAAGGTGGCGGGTGTCTCCAGCCACTGAGCTCTCTCAGAGTTCCCATTCTGAGCTCCTCAGCTTTAGTGACTTTTTACCGAGTTGCATGTCTTTTTGGTGCCCACAAAGTCTCTTCTATTACCTGTTTCCACTCACTAATTACAGGTACAAGATGCTGCCAGAATAGAGAGTAAGTCAAGACCTTTGGGTGGGAAAGTTGGTGACACTGGACATTTTACAGTGAGAGAGCAGAGGGGTGGGAGAGAGGAGAGGAGAGACAGAGAGAAACAGAAAATTAATATTTCGGTCTTTGCTCAGTTTTTCCCACAAATGTTGCCAAAGGTGAAGCAATAGGTTATGGGATCTTTAGTCAATGGAAAGATTTGCCAAAAGCAGAATATGTTCTACGAAGAACAGGCCTCAGGGAAATAAGAGAAGACCAGGTTCTGATGCTCAGGGTCACAGCTGAACTGGTTCCCATGGGTAAAGGGACCGGAATGTGTTTTCCTACCTGACAGGTCAGCTGAGGGTGGTGATTACAGACAGGAAGCTTGCAGCTAACTGTTAGACATGTGACGTGATGCAGAGTCCTGAAACGATGTCGCCTGTATACAGAGGGACATGGGGTTCCTCCAGATGAGGAAGAAGCCTTGTGTTCTGCAGCCCCCAGAATGGCTAGATGTTGCTGGCACCCACTATGGCTGGCTCCTTAAAGTCAAGCCACTGAGAAAGAAGATTCCAGCAGCAGGCTGGGAAATTATGAAATTCTGCTTACTTAGAAATGAATGTGTTTTACAGGTTGGGCATTCTAATTAGTTTCACAAGTCTCTCTCTCTCTCTCTCTCTCTCTCTCTCTCTCGTGTGTGTGTGTGTGTGTGTGTGTGTGTTTGTGTGTGTATGTATGTACAATGACTCTGGATACATGTGCACATTTGTGGGTATCAATGCTCATGCTACACAGGGCACAGGGAGAGGTCACTGGCAACTTCGGGTGTTGGCTCTGCCTTGTTCCAAGCAGAGTCACTTATTCACTGTCCTGTATACCTGACTAGCTGCTTCCTCCAGTTTCCAAGGTTTCTTCTGTCTCTATCTCCTATCTCCCTGTGGGAGCACTGGTATTACAGATGCTCCTACTATGTGCCTAGGATTTACACAAGTCTCAAGGATTTGAACTCATGCCCTGCTTGCATGACAAGTGCTTTTATCCAATGAGCTATCTCACTAGCCCCCCCCCTCTTTTTTTTTTTTTTAAACAGATCTCACAAGGACGTCTGGTACATGAATCCCAAGAGTGAACTTTACGCTTTATTTTGAGGCATGTGGGTACATTTGGTGTCATAAAGTAGGACTGGTTCTGAAGACAGAGTCAGGGCTGTATAAACTGTAACAGCTGGGAGACAGCTTGCATTTCTATCAAGACTAAAACTGTCCCAAAGTGCACTCTTGAGAATTTCAGACCAGTTGCAAAGCTGACTGTCATCACTTGGAAGATTTTCTGCATCTTAGGGTGGTTTGAGTTTAAAACAGACTGGTGTTAAAGGGGCAGGACTTTTGTGTGGGTATTACTGGGGCTTCCTAGTGCAAGTAGGATGTTCTGATCTAGACTCAGGAATGATGTGTCTAGTTCCCAGATGACCCACAGAAGACTCCTTCTTCCTGGGAACATTTGTGCATTTTCTGGAAAGCAAGAAGTCTAAAGATCTGCTAGATTGGGGACTTCTACTTATTTTGTTGAGATGGAATCTAGGGGCATCACAGCTATTTGAGACTGACAACATCTGAGGACAGCCCAGCAAGCAAGCTAACGCTGGATGGTGCCACTAAATGCTGTGGCTTCTTTCTTGATTTTTATGTTTTCCCTTCAAAGCAAATTGTTGCTTCCTTTTTTTCCAGTTGAACTAGTTGTCTTGTCAGTCTACAGTCAGTACAGTACTTAAGAAGCCTTGGGATGTTGCCCTCCCTACCCCAGTCACTGGTGGTCACGATGTTCAGGTCTTTTGCCCACCCATGACAGCTGGTCTTATGGGTTCCCTTCTGGTAGAAGTACCAGGAGAAGTAAAGATGCAGAATCAATATTGCTGAAAGTCAGAAGACAGTAGGGCTACAGATGCAGGCTCCTTGGTGGAGTATATGAACATGTACTGAACAGGTTCTGCCCACCAAAATTTGGTCAGTGGTATCTCATACTGCAAGTAGCTTGGCTCAGCCTCCCCAAAGTCTAAGCTAAAATGCCTTTTTGGATTCTAAGGCTCCAAAAATCAGCTACGCTGTCAATTACCATAAAAGCAATTGGTTGGCAGGGACTGCTTACTGGACCAGCCAAGAGCATGTTTTAAACCAAAATAGAAAAGGTAAGAAAAAAAGAGGTGGGCACTTAGGACAATCTTGGATGCTATAAAACTCAAAGCATACTGAAATTTAAGGTAGGGCTATCCCCAGTCTGTTTCCTTAGAAAGTTAAGCAAAGAAACAATTACACAAAAACGCAGTTGCATAGCAATTCAGGCGGTCTAAGCCTGGAGCTCAGTAGTCAAGGGGCCTTTCAACTTTCATGAATGCCATTTAGAAGCATCCTAATTTGGAGGTATATTCCCAAAATAGCATCTGTAAGCCTAGAAAGTGACAAGTATGGCCAAACCTTTCTCCTTTGTGATACATTTTCAAATTTAATGAACGAATCGTCAGATTGGAAATGTTAAGTGTTTCATGAAAGAGTATTTGTGCCATTACCATGTAAATAAAATGAAGGAAGATTAAGCATGTGACTACTTTTCAAATTAAGTAATGTGAAACTCAAATAGCAG